GGTCGTACTTAGTGTAATTTGAAAAAAAAAATTTATAAACGTCTGTATATATAGATTATCAAAGCAAAGATGTATAAAGAAAACCAAGTTGAGCCTGAAAAATACATAAAGAGCGAAGACTTTTTGGACTCGTGTTTAAGAGAGACATAAATTTCTCAGCGAAAGGTACAATAAAATAATGTACCATACTATACCATGTGAAACAACAGTAAAAACAGGTAGTTTCAAACAGTATCTTTCTCTTCAGAAGGCATGCATTTTTAATTCAGGTTAAAAATATATGTCCAGTTTTGAGTCTTTTGACCTAAAAACGGAATGAATCTATTAAAGGGTACACACTCTTGGGTGGTCCATGCTTCGTGCACTGCTTTGGTCTTGTAGAGGGAGGGAAGATGCATTTTCAATTCATAGGACTCGTCATTTAATTAATGACATCAAAATTTAAAAGATGTGACTAATTGTCCAAGGACTCGTGATTTAGAATATGTTTGCTATATTGCTATTCAATCTTATCAATGATCAATGATTTTTAATAACAATGAAGCAAAACACCTTTTTTTTTTTCCTGTGTAGAAATGAAGCTTATAGACAAATCATCATAAGAAAAGTGGTAAAAGTTTTTTCCTCATCCTTTTTAACTTAAAAATTAATAAATCGTAGTAAGAGATCACTAATCTTAACACAAACCTCAAACTTTACGGTCTTTATTGAAGGCAAGAATATCAACTACAACAAACTACTAAAGTCTTTGAGCACTTAATTATTCTTTTTAAGTCAGATGTGAAGATGGTCAGTGAATACCATTTTCATATACTTGTTGCCATGTCAAGTAAAAAGGAAAAGGCATATGCTGCTTGCTTAATTTGTGCAATTAGTCCAAATCTTCAGACTTCAAAGTCAGCAATTAGCAGGACACATAATTTGAACTACTACTTGAAAAATAAAGACACAATTTGAAAGTTGGGATGTCATTAAATTTTGTGAAAATAACGAAACAAAGGCTGCAGCAGAATGATTACCAAGATTAAAATTAGGACTCGTGTGGGTACCCATCTTGAAGCACAAGTCACAACGGCATTCTTCTTTCTACCAAGCATCAATGCCTTAATGTGCTCTTCCGGGAAGAAAAGGACACACAAATAAAGTCAGCCATTAAGTAAAAACAACAATAATTAATAAATGGGGAGGGAAAGATTAAAAAAAAAGTTTCATAATTTAGAGCATTGGAACAGGAGAAGATTCTTGTATAAAGAGAGTGTCGTCCAATACTAATCATTATATTTCCTTTCCTTTCCTTGAAACCACAAATGTAGAGAGGTGCATTGCATACCATACTGGTGAAAAAGCTTAACCTCTAGAGAGAAAGAAAGAGACAAACAAATACAGAGAAAGTGAGAGAGAATGAAACTTTTTAGTTGGTAAGTGGTCAGCTTTAGTAAGGCTTTGCCGACAATGATTTCTGTCTGTCCACTAAATGAGTAATTAGAAGACCCTATGAGAGGGTGATAATACTATATACTCGATTCTTCATTCTACTTTTCTACTACTCACAATCACTTCATTTGCCTAAAGTTAAAGACTCCACCACTTAGTTTAATCTTTTCACCTTTTTACTGTTTGTAGTGGTGGGTACATGAATGTGAAAACCATAAAAGAAAAGAGAGATTCTTATTCCAAACAGCTCCGAGGATATATATTATGACTATAATTACATTAGACCATAGTCTCATGGAATAGAGGGAGGATGTATCATGTTTCTGTTTCTATTTATTTCTTTGTGTATGTTAAGATTTTTCTTTTGGGTAGATATATATATTTTTTAAGAATTCTTCTATAAAAATATGAGTGAAATAGAATAGTGGCAGCTTTTCCATAATGGATAACTGCTTTGCTTATGAAGGAGAGTGATCGATGACTTAAATCCACTCTCTCAAAAGAGAAGGGGGTCCATCCAGTTATTATCAATGGCAGCATAATTGACACATATGACCATAATAAGTACACTATCAATTAGCCTTTGTTTTTTACTGAAAAGGAAATGATACAAAGAGCATTATGAAATTATTACAAAAATTAAATTTTTTTTGGAGCAACAAAAATCAATGTTTTAAATCTTGTTTTATGGCACTAAGAAGTAAGAAGCTTCGAGATAATTAAAAGGAAAAAAATGAAGTTCGTAAAATAAAAAAAATAAACCTGCAAAGCGGTGTTAACTCCCTTAATTTGTGAACTAAATGGGTTGGAATTCAGAGTTCAAATGTTTTTGGCAGCTATTAAAGATTGGCTAATCAAAACATTTATTAGACTCAAGTAAGTGAAACTTCTTGATTATATTAAATTCTAATATATACATATTTCAAGTGTTTTATCAAGTTGGATTTGTTATATTTGGGCCCCTCTATACCAAATTTTGAACTGAATTTTGAGCTCATTTCAATTGGCAAATTTTGTTGGCATATTCGAATCAGAGTTTGGAATAAGCTTAACTAGTACTGTGGTTGCGAATTCAATCTAGTTTAGCTTAGTTTCAAACTTTTTTTTTTTTTAAAAAAAAAAAAGAAAGATTTGTATCATATCTGAGCTCACGCCTTCTTGTTCGAATCTAAACTTTGTGCTTTATATTGTTAAGTTTTGTATTGAAATCTAACCAATTTAAGTATTTCACTTGATTAAGCTAGATTCCACCCCTAATCGAAGACATGCATAACTGTCAAGCTAACAATTCAATTTACTGATCTACTTGTGCATGTTATGTTGTCATTTCAAAAGAATGAACAACCATCTGTAATGCTGTCGCTTGAATTTGATACAAGCTATAACAAAATACTGAAATAATATAAATACGTGCTTCCCTTTTCATTTGCCATAAACTGTTACCAGCACCTTTGCTCTCATTCAACAAACAATTCCTTGAAGCAGATTAACACTTTTGAGTTATGGGACTTTAGCAAACAAATCAATTTAATAAAATTTCTTTCAACCCCACAAACATATGTAAAGTGAGGATAAGCGTTTGAAAAAAGAAAGAAGTTTGTTAAAATTCGTTGTAAGATAAGAAATGCTCCCCCCAGCATCTTCTGTGCTGCTTCATGCCGACAGTCTTCATTTTCTTTGGGTCCTCTCAAAACCTTTCCCACAAAATCATATTGGATAGCATCATCCAACGACTCTGCATGAACATGAAGACGTTTGGAATGTTTATAAAAGAAGTTACCCAACATAAAAATGTTAGGTATCATTCATATTTCATATTAAGATGACACTTAATGGAAAATAGAGAAAGCTAACAGAGTCTCGGGGAGCCGTCCCAGCAAAATGTGGGACAGCATCCCGAGACACAAAGGCCTCATATTGTAGGCTTCGGACTTATTTTATTTCTTCTCTTTTTTAATAGTTCGACAATAACTTACAGAGTTTCTAAATCTATTTACATTCTGCTTATAAAATATGACATAACAAATATGGTTTGAAAAATATATTGAATATTGCAGGACATAACACATGTTGAATAAATAAGAATAAATTTTGTTGTGGTCCAAAAGAAAAATAGATGATTTGACCGAAGAAAACTCTGATATCTAATGTATAACAACCAATGCTTGGAAAAAGACTTTTACTTTGTCGTTGAAATTCTAAAATGCTCTTCGAGCAGCAATTAATAAATGGTCCCAAACTTCTCCCCAATTTTCTCTACTCTGCAGTCTCTGCTATTTATCACGGCGAGAAAGAATCAAATTATCATTATATTTATTTTATTTTTTCATTGCAGAAGAAATTTTATGTGACAATCAATTACAATTATTACTACGCGACAACCTTCTTTTTTTTCAAATTACAACTATATAATACTCGTAATAGAGAATTACATTTTCCATTAACAAATGTTTCAAGAAGATCTTCGCCGTTGGTTTTAAGTTAGGGTGTAAAATCTACGTGGATGTGTCTTAAAGTAGTACTAAAAATAAACTTATAAAAGCATGCATTAATTGATGCAGCTGGAGCACGTAATAATTCTTCGTTTGTTTGATGGCGGGTTCAAAGTTGAGACCAAAAGAGCAAGATTGGTTAGATTTAGGTAGACCTGCCACTTCGGAATCAAACCCTTCACTCTCGAGTTTGAGAATGATACTTTTGATGCTTGACCATTAAAGACACCTCAGTGGCATAAAAATTCAAGTCAATTCCTTTCTTGGATTCTTTTGGTTAACTCTCTCTTCATAATGCTCTCTCTCTCTCTCTTTCCACACTGTTTTCAACATCTAAACAGGAAAAGTTCTCAACAAGTACAACGTTATTTTTTGCTGGGTAACGCTATGGGTGTCCCATGAACTCGGTTATATAAATGGTATAACCACAATGTATATAAATGTCCCGTGGTTGGTGTGAGTTTAAGATGAGATTTAGGATGATTTATACTCGACTTTGACTTGAGAGACATAAAGCTGATTGCCTTTGTAGTGGAAAGACTTCATCAATATAGGAGTGATTGAAAGCGTTAGCACTTTTCAAGATTTTACAAGTGCAATGGATACCTTTGAACATTCTATATAAACACAAGATTGAAAGATAAATAAACCACATTCCATTACATTGAGACAATTTCTTATGCCGAAGGGTACTCCCGCTTGGGGGGGAACATCACATGCTTGCTTCTTGCTTCTGAATTTACAAAAATAGTGAGAAAGTTTGAGTGAGGAAACGGTATTAAAATCAAAGGAGAATTGATAAAAACTTCTCCTTTACAAATATTATTTATCTCAAACTACTAGAGGAATATAATTTCTACAACATCCTTCCCTTTCTGGAATCGATCAAACACTTTTCTCTAACGTTATAATCTTTCCCGCTTTCCCAGTATTTAACAACTTGAAATCATGCTAGGGTGAAAAGATGGGGAAGTTGCTTGAATCACTGACGCCTCAAAAGTCCTTCCGGTAAGTGTTCAAAATGCAAAAGGAGTAAAAAAAAAAAAACAATTTTAAAAAGGAAGATGGAAGAAGACATGAAAAAAGAAGTGGGTAGTAGAAAGAATTCAATAAATCCTAAAAAACTAAAAGTCCTAACTGATTAACCCAAAAAGAAAAAGAGGTAAAAAAAAAAATGTTACACTGAGGATGTATCAACAAGAACCTCGTTTAACACATCATCCTCGGTATTGGCCAGGTTAAATAGCTCTGCATCCTTGTCTTCATTACTGGAAAAATCCCTTCTCTCCAATCTGGAATGAGCTGCAATAAATATCAACTTCTGCACCTTGTCCAATGCAGTCCTGGAGTGGCCATGTGCACAAACCCATCTCCTCAAAGACCAATTACATTTGAGGCCACATGAGGTTGCATGAAGGAATATTAACCTCACTGCAACTTTTCCTAAGGACTTGAATTCAGTTAGATAAGTTTCCCACACAAGTCTACTGCTTTGTGGATTGGCTATCCTCATCTTCCCAGTAACTGGATCTCTCTCCTTCATCTGCACAGCTTGAGCATAAACTGGGTCAAGACCTTCTGTTCTCCATTTCATGAGTTCCATTAGAGCAATATGTGCTTCATCTCTTGCAACAAGCCTGGTTATGAGTTTATCCACATCTTTCTCCTGCTCAGAAGTTAAGTGCTTAAACGGTGGAAGGTACTTGCCACTAGTGTCCCTCACTAAATAAAGAGGATCAAGAATATATGCAGCAGCCCAAGCAGGGTGATAGTTCTTCTTGAACCTTCTATCAATTAACTTTTCCACTGCTCCTTCTGCAATGTGGAATTTGGAGCTCCAATCTTTCACTTTCGCTCTTAACTCATCCCAAAGTGGAAGGCATTGGCCAACAAGTGGCTTGTCTGTCTCAATCTCATGAGCCATGTCCTTCACCAATTTAACCAACATGTGCACTGCTTCTAAATCATTCCAAAAACCCACATCTCGAATCATGTCCCCAACTTCTCTAGCATTCTTGTCTTCAATGGATACCATCTTGAATGATTCATCAAGCAGAACCAACTGCAAAGCGCGAACCGAATTCAATGTATCCTCCATCATTGTATATACAGGACCAAAGTTAAAATTCTCAAACTCTCGCAATGGCACTCGAAGTAACCAAGCGTGCCCGTACTCTTGCAGTTGGTACTTGTGAAAACTATTCCGAACCTGAGACCTGTAATTGACAAAATTCGCGAGCTTGAGACAATTCTCGGTCACAGTCCTGAACAAGGGAAGTTCCTTGGTGAAGTCCTTGATTAAACTATTGAAGCCTTGATACTGACAAGAAAGATTAACCATCCAATGATTCTGATTCTCTAAATTTTTCAAAGCCTTGGCGTTGAACCTGTCTGCAACTATCCCAACACATTGTTGAACAAAATTCCCGCAAATGCCAGTAATTGTCTCCCTCAAAACCTCCTCTGCATACTTAGAAGGAGCAGAACCAGCAACAAACACAGCCCTTCTGTACAAACTGGTCCCATTGGGAAGATTCACTGTCAAATTCACCAAATTTTCATCACCATAAGCCCCATAATTCTTTGATTTCCACCCATCTGAGGCAATTTGAAAGAACATGGCATCTCTAATCCGCGCTTCTGACTCAGCCTTGGATTCCTCAAACTTAGCATCCAATCTAGTACCAGTGAACTCTCTAGGAAAAACCGTTGGCAAACCAACCTGGTTAAGAAAAGCTCTGAACTTTGGGTGGTCCAAGCTCGAGAAAGACACGGAACCACACGACTCATACACCCAATCAGCGAGATAATCAACCGCGCTATCAATCTGGTTCTTGCTAAGAGCAACCCCAGGTGAAGTTTTAGGACTCTTAAGCTTCTTAACACTGTCTTCCAACATAGCCAAAGCTCCCAAGTCCTCCTTCCCACCAGACAACATCAAATGCGGTTGCTCCGGCAACCCAAATCGCGACGGATCCACCACGGAAAGCTGCGGAACGTGGTACGAAGAACCCGTCGGAGAGCTCCTCTTGCGGTGGTGGTTGTGGTGCACCGACGACGACGACACCATAGCAACGGCACTCCCCGGCGAGACAGAGGAAATGGGTTTGGCGTTGGCCCCAGAATTGAAATTGGGGCAAGTTCCACGCTTTAGATGCTCAGAAGCCGTTCGAGAAGGGTTTGAGGCTGAGAAAACGGCGTCGCATAATGAACAACGCAGCTTCACCGCTTTGGGGAGTCCCGTTTCGGTGTTGGTAACCAACAAAGGCTGCAAGTGTGCCCAATACCAAGCCCCTTTTCCCTTTATGGCTTTGTTTCGAACCATCATCAACCCTTCATAGCGCTTTTGCAAAGCTTTTGCCGTAGCTTCATCGGCTGAAGCTGAATCCGCAGAGTGTGTCGTAGCAACAGTGTTAGTAGCCGCCATTGCAGCCTGTGACCGTGAACGTGAATGTGATTAAAACTATGATCTTTACTCTGGACGAATGGTTTGGTCACATACCCTTCATCATCATCATCTTCATCGCCCTGTGACTCAAGTGTAATAGTTAAACGGCATCGAATTCCGTGCATTTAGCCTGAGACAACAGGTGGCGGAAGTGGTGGTGGCCGGAATTTGAATTTCCGGTGGATTTCCATGCGATCCGGGAGACTTAATTCAGAGGGTAGGTTGTGTTTTAATTCAGAGATGTTGCATTTTGATGAGAGTTAAAGGAAGGGAATGGAAGAAGAAAGCAAAAAATAGAAGAGTGAGTGTGAGAAACAGTGACACCGAAATAGCAAAGCGAATGAGAGTGAACCACATTCACGTACGGTTTTCACTCTCGGATGAATGTAATGCAAGGAAGTAACAAAGGGTGACGCTTTTTCACGCGGCGACCGCGTGCGCGTGGTAAACATCTTTCGGGGATGTTGATGGGGAATTGGTGCGACGAGGAAACGCTGGAAGCCTGGAACCCAAGTCCCACGTACGAAACCCAGACCTCATGATTGGAAAGTGGAATCTACGCGCCACTTGTGCCTTTTGTTTCGGCTTTTCTTTTTTTTTTTTTCGGGTCTTGTTGTGCGTCTTGCTTTGTCCTTGTCCCTTTCTTTTCTCTTTCTATAATTTTTTTTTTTTTTTGTATTATTCTCATACTGGTTTTTACCTAAAAATGATCATATTTATTGTTTTCGAAGGCTGAATTCTTTTATTGACAAAATGTTTAGTTCTCTTCTAACTTCATTCCAATTATTTTATTATTTATTTAAGGATGAAATATTAAAAGTAAAGAAAATGTTTATTTTATGTTTCAAGCAATTTAAAATTGTTTTTTTTTTTTTTAAAAGTGAGCTCATTAAATTTTAAGGTTTTTTTTTATTATTATTATTTGTTATGGCTGAGCAATCCTTTTATGACTTTTGTTATTGGATTTGGATGTATTGAGAATGTGGACATGGTCGAATTTATTGAATTTCAAACCTGTTGCAATGCAGACCCTGTGTAATCAGACACTTAGGAGGGAGAAGAATTTCGGTGGTTTGTACTACCATTGACTCATGCTCCAAATCAATTTAAATCAGACAATTAGTAAGAAAAAGAGAGAGAGAGGAGAAAAAAAAAAAAAAGTGTCATTTCCTGAATAAAAGGATAGATTTGGAGCACCAAAATTTTTTCCATTAGCATGATAAGTGGGAATTTTCTTCTATACATTGGATGTACCCACTTGGGTACATTTTTTTTCTACAAAAAGTAAATTTTCTTTTCATTAAACTCATACTTTCACTTTTATTCCATCTGTATCCCCACTTTTTTGCTTTTTTGGGACCGATGCATGGTCTATCGGTAGCACTAAAGGTTTGCTCTGATAAGTGACAAAGTGGGCAGGCCGAATCTATTAACCTACCAAAAAATAAGTCAGCTCATCTTGTTCTGCTTTTGACAGTGGATTAAAAAATTTGACCCCAACTCGTCTCGTTTGGCAGATTGGGCGGGTTAGCCCGTCAATAGAGCTTATTTTACACTGATCTGCCTATACCCGCCATTAATCTGCCAAAAAACAAATCTGTCCGCCCTACTTTTGAAATGGATTAAAAAAACTCAGTATGCCCTGTTCCATTTAGTTAGTGGGACGAGTTGGCCCACCAAACCTGCGTTTTGCCTGCTCTTGACAGTAGTTAAAAAGTTCAACATATGACACAATTAGATTTAGATAAAAATTTATCGTTAAATATTACTATTTATTTAGTTTTACTTTTAAGTGGGCACATAAAAATATTTCATGAATTTAATACTTTGTTGTTTTTATGTATTTTATTTCTTATACCATAAAAATGTGAGGTTGTATGAAATAAAAAGAAAAAGAAAAATTAGATATCACATGTGTATAAAAAATGATTTTATTTATTAAATTACCCCATGAGAAACTTTAAATTTGTTACCGTATTTATTTATTTTTTACCCTTTCTTCATAGTGCAAATTGAAGTATAAGACTAAAACCACCGGAACATTGACCATTTTGACACGCTTGACAAAAAAAATTACCAGACTGTCACGTTAACAGTAAATTTTGTCAAAATCCCACGTGGTATATTTCGCTACACTATGTAGCAAAATATGTTTGCAAGTAATTCGCTACACAGTGTAACGAAATATGCCATGTCAGGCTGCATAGTCAGCAAAAATGACACGTGTCAAGCAGACAGAATTCAAGCATAATTCGCTACACAGTGTAGCAAATTTCTGCCTGCTTGACACATGTCATTTTTTGCTGACTGTGTATCCTGACATGATATATTTCGCTACACTGTGTAGCGAATTACTTGCAAACATATTTCACTATACAGTGTAGCGAAATATACTGCGTGGCATTTTGGCAAAATTTACTGTTAACGTGATAGTCTGATAAATTCTTTTACCAAGTGTGACAAAATATTCACTGTTTCAAAACCACTTGAGTGCCATTTACGTTTTGGTTTTCATTTTTTTATAGATCAAGTTGCTTGACTTCCAAATTCCAATGCTATACTTGGTTCCGTAAAATGACAGAGCAATATTTGAATGATGGAATGAGATACAGGTAGCATTGTAAATGGGTTAGTTTGGCTTACACGGTCTATAATATAATTTATCGGAAAGCAGTTTCTCTTTTAACAAAAGAGTTGTTTTCTTACGTAACTGAGAGTGTTTTCTCATGTAAGTAAGTAAGAGTTTATTTTGTGTGCAATATTTTTTTATTTTTTGTTTATGGTGAAACTCATTAAAATATGTGTGTGTAAGAGATTTTCTAATCTCATATTAAATGAGAGATGTAAAACCCATAATTTATATGAGATTAAATTTGACCTATTATAAATAATCAAATAGGACAGCTTTAGATTTTAAAAAAATTTATTTAGAAAATAAGTCATATATTTTTTATGCATATCGGGTCTATAAACGTATAGGTCAGCCTATACTATATTATTTATTTCAAATACAATAAATAATAATAATAATTTTAAGAGTTTTATTACTCTCATTTTAACATAAGATAATTATCTTATATTGTAGAAAGAAAATGAGTGGTCCCACCATTACAAGAAAAAAAAAGGTGAGGGTGGGAAAATTGAAGTGAGAGAGCATAATAGAAGTTATCTTATGTGAAAGGGAATAGATCCACTTACCACTATAAAAAATTTACCACTCTTACAATCAATTTAATCACCGTTGATTTTCGTCAATCTAACGGTTATAATTTACTAAAAATTAATAACATTTATTGTGTCACATTTATTAATTAACTATTAATTCTCAATATAATCGTTAGATTGATAGAAATCAACGGTGATTAAATTGGTTGTAAGAGTGATAAACTTTTTTGGTGATAAGTATATCATGCTCCTATGTGAAAAGAGCGTAATATTTTCCTAATTTTAAATAATAAAATAATATTATATTAGTTATTTTTTAATTATTAAATATTTAATAGGCTTAAACGAACTAACAAGATTAGACCAAAACTTTTACTTTTTAAGTACACATCATGTTAAACTTATAATTTGAATCTATATAATCTAACAAGTCAAGCTAGATATAAGATTTTTTTTACATAAATCTAATTTAAATTAAAACCTAACCTAACTTATTTATTCCTCTGGATACTGCATAATATTACTCTAAAGTAATAGCAGAATTGTGAAGCATTAAATAACTTGTGATAAAATATATTAAAATGGACGATGAATAAAACGTGTTACAACCTTTTGCGACGGTAATGATCAACGCACGTGCATAATTTGATTTCTTTAAAAAAAATATTATGCTTTTCTTTACGATGGCTACTTTTTTGTTTTTTGATATAACTTTCTATGGTTTGAAATCAACAAGTTGTAGTTTCAACTTTCAATATCTATAAAATCGTAAAGCTGATTCCCACTTTAATTTTTCTAATTCGTTATTCATTTAAATTTTAAAAATTATATATAAACTGAAAAAATCATAAATATAAATAATAATGTAATAAAATTATAAATATGTCTTGTAATTCATTTCTATATTCAAAAATAAATACAGAAGTAAAAATTATTAAATATTATAATGATATACTTATAATTAATTTCAAACACTTAAATTTATAATTATTTTAAAAAATAAAACTAATTATCCATTTAAAGACTTAAAGGTTTATTGTGGATAATAAACTAATAAATACATTTAATTACTCATTTAAATATGGGAAAATTTCAAAAAAAACCCATATAGTTTTGTTTTGTATCACTTACATTCCTATCCTTTTTTTTAATCATTTATCCCCTATAATTTTTTTAATCCAAATTCATCCTTAACACTAATAGAAACTTAATTAATCTACCTATTTTATCCTTGTTAGGATAAGAGCATAGACCAATGACAAAAAATAAATTGAAAGAAGAAATAAGGCCAAATATTTTGAAAACTTACAATAATCATAGAAAAAATAAAAAAAAACAATGAAAATAGAAAAAAATCAAATATACCTAAAATAAAAAGGGTTTTGTTTCTCTCATTTCACATAAGAGAAATTTTTTCTCCTACTTACTTCGATTTCCATGTTTTGTTTTTTAAAGTAAAGTGGGTCCCACTATTTATTTTACGTGTAGGAAACGAGATTTCTCTCATGTGAAATGAAAGAAATAAAGCTCAATAAAAAAATAAACTGAGAAAAAAGAAGAAAATAAGATCAAATATGTTATAACAATAGAAGAAAAGATTAAAAATCAAAATAGTTTAAAAAAAATAAAGTGAAGATGTAACATGCGGGAGTGATCGTCGGTGCGAAAAGGCACGTATAATGAGCTGCTCATGTTAAATCTTGCAGCTGAGGGTACATGAATGAATCGAATCAATACCCGAAAAAGATGAATTTCAGAGACTGTGCTGATATGAGACGATAAAGTTGAGAATAACTTATAAGAAGTAATTGATA